AACTTGAAGTTGATAAGGACCCATTTAGACCGTGTGGAGATAATGAAGATATTCTTGGTCCAGAAGTACCATACTTAAGTGCAATTGGGGCACTAATGTATCTTGCAAGTCACACTAGACCTGATATATCCTTTGCTGTAAATTTATTGGCAAGATATAGCTCTTCTCCAACGCGAAGACATTGGAATGGGGTCAAACAAATACTTCGTTACCTTCAAGGTACAAAAGACATGGGTCTATTATTTTCTAACGTGTCCAAAACAGAATTGATTGGTTTTGCAGATGCAGGTTATTTGTCTGATCCTCATAAAGGGAGATCACAGACTGGATATGTGTTTACATGTGGAGGAACAGCAATTTCGTGGCGTTCCATGAAGCAAACAATTGCGGCAACATCTTCTAATCATGCAGAGCTACTAGCCATTCATGAAGCCAGTCAAGAGTGTGTATACTTAAGAAGTGTAATTCGGCATATTAGACAGTCATGTGGATTATGGTGTGAAAAGGAGCCTCCAACCATCTTGTTTGAAGATAATGCAGCTTGTATCCATCAACTTAAGGAAGGATTCATCAAGGGAGATAGGACGAAGCATATTTCACCAAAATTTTGGTATACACATGACATCCAGAAAGAGGGTGAGATTATCGTTCAACAAATTCGTTCAAGTGACAATATTGCGGACTTATTTACCAAGGCTCTTCCAACAGCAACCTTCAAGAAGTTAGTGCATCTGATTGGATTACGTCGACGCAAAGATCTTGAGTGATATATTCATTAGGGGGAGTAAATACGCGCTGCACACTTTTTTCCTTACCAAGGTTTTGTCCCACAGGGTTTTCCTTGGCAAGGTTTTTAATGAGGCAGCATTCTTTAAGCGTATTTTTTATGTATTTTTTTAGTAGTGTATATTTAAGGGGGAGTGTTATGTAATGTATAAATATACACTTCTCCCCCTAACCCTAGCCCATGAGTACTTGATCAGGCCCATGTATGAAACGAAAGAAAATGGTTTAGAATAATCCAAACAAATATCGGATTTAACACTACATCGATTACATAAAAGTTTCTATTTCTTAATTTCGGTGTTTAATTAACCAGTTTTTAATCATATTAATACGAACAGATCGAGGTGTATAGATGGTACAGGAATATTGATCAGATCATCCAAGGAGGAAATAGAATACCTGGTTAAGGGTGGACGTTAGGCAGAGCAGCAAACGATCGATGATGCGGACAGCAACTTAATGGATCTCTCAGGCTATGAAATCCTCTGGCGATGAATCCCTGGGATGGCAACGAGAAGTCCGATCGATGTGGCTTGATGGGAGGGCAGTCGATCGGTGATGATTCAGCGAAAGAAGAAGGCGATGGAGTGAAGATGTTGTGGCTTGAGTGGAGGATGGTCGCTATTCTGCGATCCTATTTTTGTGGGGAGGAGCGGACGGTTTCTATCGGAGGAGCGGTCGTGCTGATAACGTATTAGAATATGGTGATTAGGGATAAGTACAATGAGGAAGAGTGGGGTATATATAGCTACATACATGGGCCTGATCAAGTACTCATGGGCTAGGGTTAGGGGGAGAAGTGTATATTTATACATTACATAACAAAACTAAGAATGTTGAAAGTTTTTTTAATGAATTTTGCACGACTAAACATGATACTGTGAGAAGTATCTACTTATATCAACTACTTATTCCAAAGAGATCGAAAAATGTTGTGGCGGCTCACCAAACTCACGGTCACAGTAATATCAACTATTCTCTAGTAATATCCCTCTACTTCTACTCAAATAGGCAATGTCATTTTTATTACTTATTATACCTATGCATTCAAATCCGTATATTTAAAAAAACTATTCCGTACATTTTAAATTGTTGAAGAATGTGGTGGAAATGTTAAATACCACTTTATTGCTATCATTAAATTAGTATATAAGACATACATTATATGTCGTATTTTTAAATTGTGAAACGTTTAAAATACGTCCGTATCTTTATATATTTCATGAACGTATGAAACATATATTAAGCCGTATTTTATATAATTGTATCGTATTATACACGAACGTACGTATTATTGTATTATTCACGAACCGTATATTACTAACAAAGTGACAAATAAATTAGGAAAAATGGAAACTAATAATCCAACCTTTTAGCGGTCTTCTTACAATAGTCTCACCTTTTCGTTATTCATGAATAATCCAACCTTTGCACCTCATCTTCATTCACTGGTCCCTGACCGATTGATGACCTGCTATTCCAAGTTATTTTCTTATCTTTGCAAATCATTATACCATAAGTCTCACCTTTCACAAAGATAATATTATGCAAAGATAAGAAAATAATTTGGAATAGCAGGTCATCAATCGGTCAGGGACCAGTGAATGAAGATGGGATACAAAGGTTGGATTATTCATGAATAACGAAAAGGTGGGACTATTGTAAGAAGGTCGCTAAAAGGTTGGATTATTAGTTTCCATTTTCCCAATAAATTATTACAAAGCATTACCAAACAATTACTAGCAAGTAGCAACCATAACACAATCAGCTCGCAAAAACCTTAAAATCAATCTTCGATTAAACACCTCCAATTGAAATAGCTGACAACTAATAATCACTATTCAGTAATATTCCATAAATTTCTTAAGATCTTAGTTTAGTGATCACTGGTTTCGAGAGAAAATTATCCTACATGTGACTAAAATTGGTCCACTCTCCAAATCTATGACTTCTTCAAATTTTCCCCAAAATAATATGTAAACTCAAACTACTTAATAAATAAATAAATAAATAAATGAATGAATAACTTTTATAGACTAATATTCCCTTAGATTGATACTACCTCCGTCCCAAAAAACTTTGTCATTTGCAAAATTTTGACCGACAATATCTTTTTATTGAAAATTATTTATAATATAAAAGATATATGAAAATGTTCTTTGTAAAAAGTAGTTTCATAGAAGTATAAAATTTATAACTTCAATAATATTATACTAATCAAAACGAAGTTTCGAATTTTTTTAAATGACAAAGTTTTTTGGGACGGAGGTAATATTATAAAACTCTAACCTACTATCCATTTTTTTTTAAAAACCCCAGCCAGCAGCCCAGTAGCTCGTCGTTGTGACATATGCCGCCCCCTCGCCGCGGAACCACGTTCCTGTCATTGCGGCACCTGCGCTCCCATCACCGCTTCACCCGCCGCCCTGTTGTTGCGGCACACGCCGCCCCAAATGTCACGCCCCGGACCTGCCGGACACATCAACAACCCGCCGTACAATACGAATAGTCAACCGTAGTCCAACTCATCCATACTGTACAAGGCGTCTTGTATAACATTCACACATAGTACATCCGTAAACAAACATAATGTAAAATATTCATTTAAAGCAGCGGAAGTAATATAACAAGTGTTCAAGCCACACTTGGCAAAACATGGGCATACAAGCCCTCAAATAATTATTCAGAAAATAATATCCATGAGCATTAATTTAAATGTTTTTAAAACAGGAACGGAGGAAGCACGAACCATGTCTTCCTTCCTTGAATTCTCCCGGACCAACGGGCACTAGTAGCAAGCTCAACTCCTACCTGAAACTGTGAGGTGGCCTCCCCCGTGAATTGAAAGGGGAGGTCAGTACTTGGAAGCATTTGACAAGTACAATGACAACTATACTAAGTATAATCAATGTTTCAATTTCCAAGACCCTCAAACTAAGGTGTTATCATATTATAGTTAACTTCGTTCGTTTAGTGTCAATTCATCGTTATTTACCACGGTCTAGAGCCCAGCTCATAATCACCGTTATCTACTACGGTCTAGAGCTCAGCTCAATAATCACCGTTATCTACTACGGTCTAGAGCCCAGCTTAATAATCACCGTTACCTACTACGGTCTAAAGCCCAGCTCAATAATCACCGTCATCTACATCGGTCTAGAGCCCAGCTCAATAATCACCGATATCTACTATGGTCCAGAGCCCAGCTCAATAATCACCGTAGACCGGGAAGAGTGAAACGGAAAAATATTGGGTTTTTTACAAAAATATTATTATTATAAAGCATATTTACAAAAATATGACTATTAGTTACTACAGTGTAGTGCATGTCATAGTAACTTCAGTTTAAAAATTGAACATAAGTTACTATGATTTCGCTACCACTGTAGTCACTAATCACATTTTTGTAAACAATCTTCATTTTAGTCATAAATCTGTAATTATTTCAAAAATATTAGGGATAAAACGCACATGATGACTTGTGTATACTCGGTTTGTAATAGCATCAAGGCAAAAATATGCCGACTGAGATAGTGAGTAGCCAATGAAAACACATGGTATGGAGCGCGCATGCATTTTAGATGAAGAATATGGGCGCAACCATGGATAGCACAAACACCCAAAAGGTTGTAATTTTTGGTAATTAGGATGACGTTGGTATAATTGAAAATATGGTGTAGAAAAATTAATGGCGGAGTTAGGAAGACGGTTGATAAGATATACTGTTGTTTGGAAGGCATAGGGCCAGTATGACTGAGGCAGACCGGAATAATGGAGTAGAGTGAGTCCGGTATCAACAATATGCCTATGTCGACGTTCAGCAATACCATTGTGTTCGGGCGTGTGGGGGGGTGTGGTGAAATGAGATATGCCATGTTGATTGAGGTATGACCGTGATTTAATGTACTCGCCCCCATTATCGGAGAAGAGGGATTCCGGCTTGGAGACATCAGAGGAAGACCATCATCGATTACGACTCCTATAGATAACAATTGACACATCACTTTTATTTTTTATTGGATATAGCCAAGTGTACCTGGTGAAAAAATCAACAAAGCTCACGTAATACTTAAAACCATCAAACGAGGTAGTGGATATGCTCCATACATCGTTATATATTAATTCAAGAGGAGAACTGGTGTTCATAGTATTAACACAAAATAGAAGACAAGTACTTTTATTAATATGACAAGACGAACAATGAGACGCACTTAACGAAATGTTACATGGGATAACATGTTTATTTTGATGAATTAACATATCAAAAATTCGACGAGACGGATGACCAAACGTGTGATGCCAATGAGATGGAACTGAGACCCGAGACAGATGGATTTGTGGAAACTTTGGTGATGGAACATAGTAGACATCATGGATGTTCTCCCCGCGCATGAGCACCGCCCCTGTGACCCGATCCTTGACAAAAAAATGGGTAGAAAACAATTCAACAGAAATAGAGTTAGTTTTGCAAGGTTTAGCAACAGAAGTTAAATTTTTATTAAGGTTGGGAACACAAAGAACATTGGTTAGGGATAGGGGTCGGGTTTTTGTGGCTAGGCTGGTTGAACCAGTGTGTAATAGGGAGGGAGTTACCGTCACCGAGTTGGACCTCATTAGGTCCTCCGTATTCAGCATAGGTCGGAAGGTTGGAATGATCCGATGTGACATGGTGAGAGGCCCCACTGTCAAATAGCCACTGCTGACCTTCAGTCATGGGGTTGACCATCGTATTGTGAGCCATAGGAGCACCAGAACCCGAAGTGGTAATAATATGGTGTTCACGAAGAAACCTCTGTAATGTTCGGCATTGTTTAGCTTCATGCCCGGAGAAATTACAGAATTGGCAGACAACACCATGCGACGGGGGGTTCCTGGACTGACCATGACTATTGCCGCCACAGCCACGACGAGCATGATGCCCTCGGCGATCAGTGGTCTGTGTGGGACGACGGTCAGTGTGCATATGGGACTCAAACGAACGGCCTGGAGCATGCGTGTAGTGGGCTGTGGGAACCAGATTTTGCACAGACATATCTGCTTCCTGGAGTTTTTGTTCATGCTCCAGTAATATGTCCTGAAGCTCCGCAAGGGGAAGCGGGGTGTTGCGCACACGTATGGCCGAACGAAGTTCACCATAATCTGGACCAAGGCCATTGAGAATGTTGATGACTAAATCTTCCTCCAAAATGGGATTTTGAGCGAGAGCCAACGCCTCATAAATGGCGTACATTTCAGAAACGTACTCGGTGATGGAGCGGCCACCTTTTGTGGTCCGAGAGAGAGCATTTTTGAGGGAGATAATTCTGCCTCGTGATGTACTCGCATAGGTGAGCGAGAGCTTGTCCCAAGCTTGCCTTACCGTCGTGACTGACGAGATCAACGGTTGAACAGCATCGGCACAACTACCAAGCAGTGCACTGATGATCGTGCAGTCTTGGCGAAACCAAATAGCATAACATGGATTCGGTTGAGTCTTGGCAGTATCCAGATATTGATCCGGTGCCGCAATTGAGCCATTGACGTATCCGTCGAGACCGAGGCCAATGAGGGCCGAATGAACCTGGAACTTCCATATGGGATAATTTGAGGTGGTTAATTTGATGGGGAAGTGGGTTGAGGCTGTGAGAGCAATGACCTGTGTGGTAGGGGTAATGATTGTCATGAATGGATCGGAAAAAAATTGAGCTTGTTAGAGGAAGGCTCTTGATACCATGAAGAAGTAATATGAGATGAATGAAATTGATGTATTTGGTTTGTGTACGTACATCAATATATAAGCTTTACAATGGAGGTGATAAGCTATACTAACTAACTAGCACAAAGAGAGGGATAAGACTAACCCTACGTATAAGATAAATACAAGGGAAAACATGATAATATTGTGCTAATATGTACATGATAATATTGTGCTAATATGTACATGATAATATTGTGCTAATATTATGCTTCAATAGCCACGACTGAAGCATAACATATTATGTCCCAATGCCGTGCCGCCGCCGTGGCACCGCCTATTTTTTTTATGAAAATAGGGTTTGTGAATTTAGTGTTTGTGAATATGGGCAGTGAAAATAGAAAATTAAAGTTGAATATGGACAGTGAGCATGATATTAGATAGTGTTTTATATGGGTAGTGAATGTATGTATTGATTAAATGTCTTGTGCAGTGAATCAAATCCAATAAAGTAATAACGATGAGTTGCGATGTAATACACTTAACTACACTATAACTACTAATTTAAAGTTATTACATCTAAAATTAAATACAAAAAAGAATTATAAAAAGAATCAATATTGGCATGAAGTGCAGTAATTCTTACCAGTTGTGCAATAATGTTATCAGTAATGTCGTGCAGTATTTCTAATTGGACGAAAATAGTGTAAAATGGCATTTTTTAAATAAGGGTATTTTGGTCATTAAACATTTTAATATGGACAATTTTTTCATTTTATTTTTCATTTCAACAATATATTTTTGCAAAGTAATTCTTTAATAAGAAAAATAAAAACATTTGATATAAATTTTAAAAGTAAAAAATATACAATTTGAGTTTGAAAACTGGCCGGGATTCAGAGAGCGGGATCGGATCCAACACTAGGCGTAAGTTTGCAAATTCATTGCAGCGGTTCTACATCATCCGCGTTTTCCAAATTTGAAAAATATAATTAGTAAAAGTCACTTCTCCTATTCATTAAGGAAAATAGGTACATATCTCATCTTTCGAGGAGTTCATAGTGAAATTCTCCCTACGAAAATGATCCTTAGACTCCTCCGGCGAGCCCATCTTTTGTTTTGGAAAACGGTTTGGTAAACGCAATTTTCTATTTTCCTTTCTCCAGTTTTTCAGCAATTTTTTTTGTTAAACACGTTTTCTGTTTTTCTTTTTTTTTTAGTTTCCAATTTTCTGAAAAATTTGAAAAATATCTCGGTTAGTAAATAAACCCTTATATGCTCAACCATATACGTCTGTTTAGATGAAAGGAAATAAAAACTTGTGTTATTTGGATGCATGCAAAAGAAAAATATAAGAAATATATATGATCTTAAGGGATGTTTTCTACAATGTCAGCTAGTTGTTAATTAGTTATAAATTATAATCATATAAACTCTTTTATGGTACTTCGTATAATAATATAAACTTAATGAATAAAAATTACCACATATGAAGCATATATTTAATACTCCATAGTAGGTATTACCATTACTATGTGTAGGGCCGGGTACGTGCAAATAAGTCGAGCCGCTCGGTCAAAGCTCGAATCGAGTTTGGTCAAAGCTTGAATCGAGTTCGGTCAAACTCGAGCTCGAGCCGGCTCGTTAAGAAGTCGAGTCATAAATGAGCCTACTAATTTTAGGCCCGCGAGCCGGCCCGTGAGCCTAGTTTTATATGTGTGTGTATATTTATATTAATATATATATATATAATATAATATAATACCATAATATATATTAGTATATATAATATATATAATATAAATTAATATTTATAATATAATATAAATTAATATATATATAATACCATATATATGTAATGTATATGAGGATCGGGAGATATTATTAATTATAAAATAATATAACAAAATTAATCAAAGTTTCATCCATTATTTCTCCATGGTTTGACTACTTTTGATTTATATTAGAAGTACAACTTGGTGGAGACCTGAAATTAGGATTATATTTTGTTTATTTTTAATTCCTCAAACACTAGTTTGAGTTTAATCTTCATGGTTTGAACACTTTGTATTTATTTTGGACAACTTTTACTCTACTTTTAGATGTTGGACATGTAAATTGCAATTTTCAAATGTTTAAGCACAAATACTCAAAGATTGTTTCATACTTGAGCTCGAGTTCGAACACGAACTTTCGAACTAATCGAACTTATAATTTTTTGTTGACGAACCAAAACTATCGAAATGAATCAAGTCGAACTGAGCCATATCAATATATGCAAGTCGAGCTCGAGCCCGGATTTTTTTTAAGCTCGTTCGAGCGGAGCTCCAACTTAAACTAATAGGAGTACAATATATATGGACCTCGAGCTCGACTCATTTGCACTCATAACTACTACGTATGTGAAACAACACAATCATTGGTATGCCTTTAAAATTGACCATCGCTTTTATAGTGCACTGCCAAAATACCATTAATGCGTAGTTTGAACAAAAGAATCGTCCCTACTTTTATCGTTTGAGTGAGAGCACTTTCTTTCCTTCCGAAACAAAAGAAAATAGAAACCCTACTTTTCCTTTTGATTCATTTTGAGTGAAAACATAAACAAGGACTGTTCCCTTCTCGACATATATGATCCCAATTCCTAAGTCCAAGTACGATGTATAGTATCATACATATAATCACCTCAAAACTTTTAGTACAAAGATCTTATCTTTTTCTTGTCTTGGCAAATATCAAAGTTCATTTCCAGTCTCAAGACAATTTATTCGTTTGAAAACTATTATTATCTTATTTGTAAGGATTGAAGAGGATCGAGTGGGAAAATAAATATCACTGTGTAATTAATCTATACTAGATTGAAAAAATCGGCCATTGCGAAGAAAAAATGGAATGAGTATGAAGTGACATAATATTCTTGTTATACTCAAGCCTATCTCCTTTGGATGAATTAATTGTTCACATTCAAAACACTCCCATCAATTAAATATAAATAAAATGGAGATGTAATAATGATTTAAGTATATATTATAATGTGTGTAAGCATTACGTGCATAACAAAACATGGCATGCTACAGCTGAAGGTGTGCTTTGCTTGACACGTGTGTTCCCACCTCATGACTTTTTTGTCAAGAAATACTTTTATACTTTTAATTTGGACGGTATACGTACGTCTTTAATTATTTGAACTTGTACATACATACGTACAGATCGAGTATAATGTATACGGTATATTTGATTCAAAGAAAAAGTATGTCGTAATAAAGATAAGAACTAATCTTGATTATTGCTTTGAGAAAACGGAAACATCTAAAGTAAAAACGTGAGTGCATTTATATAATTTTAAATATGAAAATGATAATGATAGCAATTATAATAAAAGTGCATCAATTTATCTCAAATGTGCCTGAGTTATACCACTGATAGGTGATATAAAATGAGAATGAATAAGATCGATATGAGAATAACAATTTTATACTTCAATTCGTATATGAATGAAATGTAGAAGAAGAGGTTCCTGGTCATCGACGCATTCTTTCATACAAAAAGTCTCAAGTTCGAAAATCCATTTGAGAGAGTTTCAGTCATGTTTAGCTCAGGCTCCTTCCCCTGAATCCTTTGGAGTAGAAAAAAATTATGTAATTACACATTACCAGAGGCGGACCGTAGTACAGACCCAGGGGGGCTGCCGCCCCCCAACAATTTTTTTTTTTAGTATATATATATACAAAATTTTTATTTTTACCCTCCAACATTTAATTCTCGCCCCTCCAAGAAAAATTTTGAACTCCCCCAAAAAATATTTTCTCCCCCAAAGCATAGCCCACTCGTAGAAACCCAATTGTTTAAGAGCCTAAAAAAATAGAAATTTTACAAGTAATATTATATCAACTCACTCCAAAATTTATTCCCCATTAACCCACCCCAAAATCTAATCCCAGCCCACCGCCCAGACCAAAGTAATGAAAAACATGTGCACCTAGAAGAAAGAAACGGAAAGATCTATTATTTTTAAATGATTGTCCTTATGTCTACTATGTTCATTGCTTAGCACATCAGTTGCAATTAGCATTGGTTGCTGCTTCTAGAGAGGTGAAATATGTGCACAATTTTTTCATCGATTCAGTCTTTATTATTAATGTGACTAATTTTTCTTGCAAACGAAGTGATGAATTAAATGAAGCTCAAGCACTTGAAATTGCAAGAATGTTGGAAATTGGTGAGCTTGAAACAAGCAGAGGACTTAATTAGGTCGGTACATTACAACAAGCTGGGGGAACTCGTTAGAGCTCACATTTAAGTTCTGTTTGCAGTTTGATTAGGATGTTTGCTGCAACTTGTTCTGTTTTAGAAGATGTTGAATAATCGTTGAAGAAGCGTTGGGTACAATTCTAAGGTACTAACTTTAACTATTTTGTAATAATATATTTGTCTCTTCTTCTATTATAATGCTTCATTTAATTACTACTCCGTATTATATTAAGGTTATAACTTATAATAATAATCACCTAGATTTTTTTTGTTTAAATTATCGCCCCCCAATATCAATTTCCTGGGTCCGCCCCTGCACATTACAATATACTATCGTATATATTTCACTTTTACCATTAATGGTTATAAACTTGAGTTGCACTCATTGACAATAATCTATATCATCATATTTAATTTCTACTTAAAAAATCATTTAGTCCATTTTTATGAGTGGTTGATGACCTTTGCTTAATTTTAATTTCATGGGAAGACTTATTTAATATTCATTTGAATTTACACACACATACACTGATACACATATATGGGGTTGGTTAAAATAAAGAGGGCTTAATGTTTGAAATCCTGGACAAGGGTATCCATTTCACTTGATGTGCAGTGTACTATAATGCACTTTGACGTTTCGCCAAAACTCGTCTATTTACAAAAATGCTATCACATTTTTTTCAAACACTTGGGACAATTGTGTGAATAAGTATCATTGACGAAGCGTCAAAAAGTGAATTACACTTTATAT